GCAAAGGTTCATCCGCGAGTTGCGTGTCCAAGTCCGCGCTGGGTGGCAGCGGCGGCAGATCCGGCGAAGGAACGCGCAAACTCGGATTCTTTGGCGGTCTTTCAGGCACCCAACCGGGTTCAATGGCGGCCGCTGGCAGCGGTGGATTGTAGTATTGCTGCACATAGTTTGGTGGTCGCGCATGTTGCTGCGGATGATGTTGTTGATGTGCCAGCGCGGCGGCTTGCTGCAGCAACGCCTTCTCACGCATGGCTGCCGCATACTCAGCCGCAGAGGAGGTGCGACGCGTGGGTAGCAGGTTAGTGGGGCGCGCTGCTCGTGGTGGCGGTGGCGGCGGCGGCATGCCGCAATCATTGAAGGAAGATTTCTCAGAGCTCGAAATGTTCTTAACGGATTGCGCAACGAGCTTCTCTTGCGTGGCACGCATGTACTGATCACGAAATTCCGCATAATCTGAGGCGGATGAGGAGCGCCGCAGCAGCGTGTGTGGTATGAGTGAGCGTGAACGTGGTGGCGGTGGTGGTGGAGCGGGAGAGGGTGGTTTGGTTGGCAGCGCGCTGTAACTGCTTGATGCACCGACGGCGTGTGTGAGAGTCGCATGCTCATCATTGCTGCCGACCTGGCCGCCACTGGTGGGCTTCTGTGGAGGTGGCGGCGGAGGTGGTGCGCACAAACGCATTGGCAGCTGCTGTGCGGAGGTTTTCTGTTGTTGAAATGTGCTGCCACTCAAATTGCTATGCTGCGCGCCATAGGAGTTTGGCAGCGAGCTGCGCATGATTTGATGTTGTGTGTCAGATTCTTTCATGTTCGACTGGTAGGAATGCGGACGTAAAAGTGGCGAATGCTGTTGTTGTTGTTGTTGCGGCGGCGAATGCTGGTGCTGATGCGCTAACTGATGCTGATGCTGGGAATGCGCAGTGAGTGGCTGATAGATTTTTTGCGACTGACCCTGTTCTTTGGCATGCTGCTGTTGTTGTTGCTGCCGTTCAAAGTACGACTGCACCGCATTCTTTTGGAATGCCTTCAGCGCTGGATTCGAGACGCGATGTGTCTTACTCGGGTCCATATAGGTATATTTCTGCAGCTGTGGTTCGTTTTTGGTGCGCTCGAAGTCGTTTATCAGCTCAGCGACCGACTGCCAACTCGGCTGAGGCGGACTGGTTGGAGACGCCAAGTATCTAAAGTGAAGAGAAGAGAAGGGAGTGGAATGCAATTTACTTCAAAGCTTGCGTACAAAGAAATTCTATAACTTACTTTGTTGCCAGCGCCACTGATGCTGCCGTCTGCTGCGCCTGCTTCTGAAGCAGTTGCGGTTGTTGTTGTTGTTGCTGCTGCTGTTGCTGTNAGTATCTAAAGTGAAGAGAAGAGAAGGGAGTGGAATGCAATTTACTTCAAAGCTTGCGTACAAAGAAATTCTATAACTTACTTTGTTGCCAGCGCCACTGATGCTGCCGTCTGCTGCGCCTGCTTCTGAAGCAGTTGCGGTTGTTGTTGTTGTTGCTGCTGCTGTTGCTGTACCGGCTTCTGCAAGCCAGCGCTATACTGCGGCTTCGGATGCAGCACAAATTGCGAGGTGTTGCTATGCACCTTTTCAGTATAGGTGCTCACAGGAAATAGACGGTGATTGCTGCGGTAGGATTGCGATGGTTGCGCGGATGCCGACGATACCGCGGACGCTAAGGAAGTTGTGGACGTGTTCAGCTGCGAATTAGCGCTGCCAGGCGAAAGCGACGCGCCACCAACTGGACCCGCGCCTATAGCGATTACTTCCACAATGGCGTTGGTCGCAGTGCTGCTGATGACAACTGGCTTCGGCGCTATGGCAGGCGAGTGGGACGCAAGCGCGGAAGTGAGCGCTTCCACCTCCGCTTGCGTATTTGTCACAGATATGCTTGTATTTTGTGTTGGTAATGGCGGTGGTGCTGCCACATCACTGCCGCCGTCGTCTGTTGCTTTCGGCGCGCTCCCCAGCGGCGACGTTTTCGCGGACGCGTGTGTGCTAAGATTGCAGCCATCAGTGACGCTTGCACTCAAGGAACTGGGTAGCGCATCTGCAAGTGGCGCGGCAGCAGGTAATTTATGCGCGAGTGATTGCGGTTGCTGACGTACTGCATACTGCGGATGTGGCTGATAGGGATGCATGGCGGCGGTGGCGTGTACAGGCGGGTAGCTTGGACTGTGGCGATGATTCGGAAGCAACGCGGCGTTTTGCGCCATCAACCGTGTGGGCGAGTGTGTGCGTTCGCGCGCGGACAATGTTGGACTGATCTGTTTGGGTGCGCTCGGCGAGTGCTGTTGCGCAGACGATATTAGTGGCTGCTGCGCTTGTTGCGGCTGCTGGGACTCGTCGTGCAGATACAGTACGCTTTCGCTGTGATGTCGTTTGGGGGTCAAAACGCGCGAACTATGCACAATCAGTTGCGACGAGGAAACTGAAAAGAATGAAGAAAGACAAAAATAAATGAATTTGATAAACAAGTAATGTGTGCTACAGAGATAAATCACAGAATGCTCGCAGCAGCGTGCGCCCCTCGAACGAGGTGAATAAAAATGAATTGCAAATCTATAAAATGATCCTTGAACCAACTGCGCAAATCAACAACGTATAAATCACCTAAACAGCCTGCAGCGGCACACTGCACAGTCGCCTTCATTACCGGCATGCAGTCAATCGCGGTTGCCGCTGGCTCCACCGCCACCGCCTTTACTGCAGCCACCGCCAGTAGCTCTTTGCCGATTAAGCGACCAACATTCGACAGTTTCCGCTCGACGTTCGCGATTAGCAGAGGATGGCGGCGCAGGCGACGTGCATGATTAAGCGTTTGAAAGTGGTGAACAAGCTGCGTTTTTTATGCGCTAGCTAACCACCCTTACCGGCCAACGCGCGGAGCTCCTGTGCAAACAAGGTGTCAAATCAGGCGCACCAGCAGCTCGGAAAAGATATATCGCTGCCGCTATTGTCGCATTGCTGGGTCGGTCAAGAAGCCTGTAGAAACAAGCTACACATTTATGTACATATATACATATATATATGTGTTTGTTAGTTGTCATAGATAAATGGCCGCAACATGACACAGTGGCAACGCGATCGTTTGCTAGCAACAGTTGCGCTCGTGGCATTCACCGCGATTGTGTAATCTAATAGCCAATTCATTTAACGGTTTTGTACTTGATTTTGTTGTCGCCGCCGCCGCCATCGCTGCCGCTGCCTCCGTTAGTTGCTTAACACAATTTTTCCTGCCTCGTTTTGTGGCATGCGCGAATTCGTGCTTATATTGCAATTATAAAAGATTGCCAAGCAGCCGTGGTGGGGGTATTAATTTTATAGAACCTTTTTTGCCAATTTTTTTGCTCGCAATTTATAAATTTATTTTTCCTTGAATGCTTGCTCTCGTATGTGCTACTAGACTACATGCTACTTGCTACTTGCTACTTGCTACACACTCCGTCCGCATACGGGTTTAATCGCATCGGACTTAGCATTTTTCGTCGCCTTGTGCGCTTACGCCTTTGGGCGTGGTGGGAGTTGCTGTGGTGGCTGTTGGCCGTCAGCCCGGCTGATACGATTAAATTTGCACCTACTAACTACCTACTTTAGTATGACAAATATCTTGCGGCCAAACGGGTAAAGAAAAAAATGAGTTGGAAAAACCAAAAGTTCTTACGTTTGGGAAAGGAACGTTAAAGGTTAGAATAATTGTGAACCCAATTAAGGAATCACAAATGCCGTAGGCAATTTTACGTAACTACATACGATTTTGGTGGCCTTTGACTAGGTTTCGCCAATGTTAAAAATTTAAAAATGAGTAGAGTGGAAAAATAATAAGTTGGATATGTTGAAATAGTTAATTGGTTGACAAGAATGTTCTAGTATGAAAATGCTACGGGCACAAAAAATTTGCTGCAAGAAAATCCAAACTGATAATTCAAAGGTAATTCTTAGAACGAACTGAAAAATTGTTTTGGTTATAACGAGGCTAATCAATAGAAACCAAAAGGGGTTTAACGAAAAAATTGCCCTATCGCTTTTTCAGTGGCATGTACTAGGGTAATTGACTCGGTTTTTCCAAACCGGTTTCCACCGCTTTTTTTAAATGTTTATAGGCGTTTTTTTTTTTAATTTCGATTCTTCGAATCTCAAATAAACCGGATTTTTTAATCATAAAAACCGATTGTTTTTATTTCAATAAAAGTTTTGAATTTTTCGAAGTTTTCGGCGCTTTTTTCAGTCCTTTTTTTTTAATTTTGATTTTTCGAATCTCAAATAAACCGCATTTTTTAATCATAAAAACCGATTATTTTTATTTCAATAAAAGTTTTGAATTTTTCGAAGTTTTCAGCGCTTTGAGGGAAACCCCTAAATAGATTTAATTTTATATCCTAGGTTATTTGGGAATTAACAGTATATCGAGGGCTTATATTCAATACCCTCTATCTGCACTTTTTACAAAAATGAGATTCTGATATAAAAATCCACCTAAAACTTAACTGTCATCGGCGATATTAATACTGACCTTGTATAACGCTTGAGAGAAGAATTTACTATTAAATTGCAAAGTCAGAATTAACAGCAGTGATGACAGGCACGTCCCATCAAAAAGTAGTAGGAATATAAGCCCTCGATATCATATTTGATTACAATAAACGAAAGTTTATAGGCACTTCAACGTTTTCTACGTGTTTGGCCGAGCCTCTCCACCAATTCGTGTTCGGTTTTTTGATGCTGGGACACAAATGGAGACATCTAGACTTTTATTCCACTTTGAAGAAGCTTTTTTTATGGCAGAAGCATACTCGGAGGTGTGCCATTGTCTGCCGGGAGGCGACTGCTATTTGAAAAAAACTTTGTTTTGATTTTCCTGCGATCAGAAATTGAACCACGGACCTCCCGAGTCCGAGCACTCGGCAATGGCGGCAAGAGCACTACTCAAATAAGTCAGAAAAAATCCAAAATAATATTAAAAACAGTTAAAATAAGACGAAACGTAATTTTTTCACTGAGTTTTAATTGTTGTATTTTTGCTCTAAAAAAATGTTTGGACTGAATTTGCTTTGCTCTCTTCTTAGTGTTTTTCTTCATTTTCTAAATCGGGAACCGGTTTTTTTTCAAATTAAAATTTTACGAGTAACTCGAAAACCGGTTTTGGAAAAAAACGAATAATGGAACACTTTGGTATTTATATTTGTCATTGCAGCAGGAAAGATACACAAGATTTTTTTTTTTAAGTTTTAAATTTGCAGATTTTTTGGCATTTATTGTATTTCTGGGATTCTTCAAAGTATTTTCAAACCACGCCGAGAGTTTTTGTTTTGTTTCGTTATATTTCGGGGGTTTTCAACGATTTATGTTTAAAAAAATATAGAAAAACTAAACAACTATCGCTTGTTTTGTCTTAACCCTTTCACCACCAGTGCCCAAAATATTGGGCAAACTTTTTTGTGTTTAAATCTCTTCTTTTTCGTACATAAATAACAGCCTTTTTTGTTAAAAGAACAGTTGCGTCGAGAAAATTATATATCTTTTCTTTAGCGCGTTTTTCTTGTTGAACTTTCTGGATGCAATTGACCGTGTCTTTTCACAAAAGTGAAAATTTTCACATAATTCGGTAGTGAGTAGTGTAGCATTGAGAAAAGCTACACAATTTAGGAACGAATTTGTCAAAGTTGGTTTGCAGATAAACCGGTTTCGGCGTTGTGCCATCTTCTGAGTAAGTTTTCGTACTCGAAACATTAACAACCAAAAAGGACTGTTTGACTTCCTTTTTAAATATAACGGGTTTCACTGTCCAATAAAATGGACGCTAAATAACGATAAAGCTAAGAGTTAAAAAAAAATGTTGATTATATTTTTGAAACTAACGGCACAAAATTTGCCGGAATGAAATTTTTCATAAGATGTTCTAAAATAAATTTGACACTGATGTCCAAAACTATGAATTTTACTGGCAACTTTAGGTTAAACAGCAGAGGGCAGATTGATGATTGGTGATGTCTGTTGTGGATATATTACAAAGGCAAATTAGTGACGAGTGATCGAAGTTGTGGATTAAATCCTCCCTTCGATGAAGTTTTTAAAGTCTTATTAGTGTAAATAATTTTGCTGTCATACGGCGAATATAAATATAAGAAATAGTATTCGATACTCTCCATTAATTCTTCGACTGCATTTTTGGATGGGACAGCTTTTTCCCGTTTCTCGATAATTTAGCACCGCAGTAGTTACCTTATTTATGTCTAGGCATCTATACAATGCTTTCACTACAATTTAAAGCAAATACGCCACACCATCTACAGCTTCCGAAGACTTGTTGTTGTTTAATGGAGAACACTTAGTAGCTCATAACCAGTGTTGCCAAGAGAAAATCTGCGCCTGTACTAAAAATATACGTTCCAAAATATTGCTAAAAAGTAGCTGAACACCATCTATGTTCCAGCACTGGCGCACGAAGTGGAGGTTAGGCGGTCGTTAATGCTTTTATATTACTATACCATGTTTGAAGCCAAGCAAATACAAATATCGAGCTAAATATACGCTGACTGTAACTACTTAGCATTAGAAAATTTCTACAATCATTCTAAATCACTTTGGGAATTGTATGCCCTACTTTTATAGTAATGTACTAAGTACAAACATCCAACACTAAATGAAGTTAAATAGCCTTCAAACACTGTAACACTCCCAATAATTTGGCGATCAAACCTGTACCTTTGTACTAAGAAAAGAGCTTCCCCAAAGGCGTGATGAAATCAATTAGAACTTGGCTGCTCTGTACAAAAAAAAAAGGAACGCATGAAAACTGTAACAATCGGGAAGACAAATGAATATCAGTTAATCATTATAAACAGCTGAGTAGGCCCAGCTGAGTTAGGCCCAAGTTAGATGCGCTAAATTTTGCGCCCAACCAAAGTAGGCTCATTAACAATCCGTTATTTTGACTTTGTCTAAGCAAACTTAGTAACAGAGCAAATGGTTTTTTAATTAGCTCCACCTTCAATTGCTGTGCCTGTAATTTCGTAAGTCTGCTTAGCGAATTTGGGTTAAGGGTGTGGTGGAAAATGCTTGGCTTGCAAAGGGATTGAATGTATGCCTTATATATATATTTTTTTTTGGTTTGTAAGGCAGAAGTAAATAATCATGCGCTTGTACGGCGCATGTGTAAGTGCTCTGATTGCTGTGAGAAATGACAAACCTTTATGCTGGTCATACCTTACAGTCGAATGTAATACATATCATTGACCTGTGCGATCACAAAACGTGCGATCATTCTATCGATCAATCCAAGAGGTGATCAGAGCTAGCGTTAATTTTAGTTGAAAAGAGCAATAAGAATGCGCAAAAAACGCTTGGTTATGACACGAAAATTAATTTACAAAATGTTTCAAACTCAGCAGTGAAATGGTTAGAATTTTTTTCTGCTTCAGCAGCAGGTTCTTCCCACTTGCATACCTGTAGGTATCGGTTTGAGGTGGCACTACTAGCGTTTTTGCGCTTCTTGGCATTGGTGTCCATTTGGAGCGAAAATATCATTAATCATGAAACACGGCTAACCTTTGGCAATAGAACAATGGCATGAAATGCTTGAAATTTTGTAAACTAAAGCGTTAAGTTACCAAAAAATAGTTTCGAAATGCTCAGCATATATTAGTGTCGTTACAACATAACATGCGCACCCGCCACATTCATTAATTAAGACGATTTTTTAATAAATTTGTAATTAGTAAAATAAAAACGAAAAAATAATGCAGAATTTTGAATTTGGACGAGCTAAAATAAATCTTGTAATTCTGCTTTGGAGAGAGAAGTTAAACCTCATAAATTATCTACCACAATTAATAATAAGCAATATCGAAATTTGCCAGAAAGTCAGCATTAAATTAAATTTTTTCTTCTGAGTACTAGATCAGGTTTCCACCAAAACTTTAACTGCAGCTAAGAGCTCTGTTATGTTTTAGGACCGCACTTCACCCACTCGTGCTAATGATAGAAAAAACTCTAGAAGATAAAATTATGCCTTTGGAATTTTCTTCTGAATAAATAAAAGCAATCGCCCTCGACCGGAAATAGCAAACTTCCGAGTGCATTTCTGATATGAAAAATATCTAATCGTTATTTTACATTAAAAAATGTTAAGCTTAAGATTTTACGACGGTTAACACGTCTTGTGAATGCCCTCAATGTAAAAAAAAAAAACGGGAAAAAAGTTTCTGCAGATATTTTGATATAAATACTTTTAACCCACTTTCTATTACCTTTCGAAGTCAAATTTAAAAACTATTTAATATTTATATATACATAATATTTGTATTGTCACTTATAGTTGAAAAAATTTCAAGCTGGACAAAAAAGTTGGAAAAATGTTAAATTTTAACCCAATGTGATTTATAATATGAGTAAATATGATTTCTAACAAATTTGTGGCTAATTTTACATGTCATAATTTAAAAAAATTAATTTTGTAGACAAGTTTGATTACATTAACGATAGCCACATAAAATTTTGCAATGCACAAAAAAATAAAATTTCGAAGATTTTGTCATTTTAAGTTTTATTTGGGTCAGTTTTTAAAGTCGACTTTTATTTTTTGTATTTTTTACTTGCTGTTGATAATTACATAAGTCCCTTCCAATTAGAGGTATACGCCGCCGAGCCACGCCGCCGCCGCCGCCGTTTTTTGTCATTACTCACGCGCCGCCGCCGAGTTACGAAAATATCGGCGCGGCGGCGGCGGCGGCGGCGTTCGGCGCCTAAGGAATTTTGTACAAAGTTTTCATGAAACGCATCACTTGAAGGAACTACTACTACAGAATATATAACAATTTTTTTCAATACCACAACAATATTCCTTTTTTACAGATTACTACAACAACAAGAAAGTTGTCACACACCAAAAGACTTTAACGATAATATCTCAGAAAGCAGTTTTAACAGAAGTGCCCTTATTGCATCTAACTCCTCGATTATTGGAGATAAAACAAAAACAAATTGATCTTCTTGTGTATTTTTTCTTTACTAAAGAGTTGAATATTTTTTAAACAGATTTTAAATAAGTAAGTTATTTTATTCCGGGGTCCCACAGACGTATACAAGTTCTATGTGGCAGTGTGAAAACTATGTTAGCATTCACAAGTGGTGGGCAAACCCCAGAAAGGTTTTGCTCCATCGCATCGCAATGTTTTCTACACAGGGTTAAAGTTCCCCCTTCTTGATGGAAATTAGTAGTATTTTTCATTACTTTTGTTTACCCTCGGAAAATTTGGCACTTAAAATTTTAGTGGAAATTTTAACCAGGCCTGTTCTGCTGGGAGTTGATGTATAAAACCCCCGGAAAATAGTAGACCACCCTAGTTTTCAATCAATAACCCGCAAAAAATCGTAAGAACCCCTTAATTTAACATAACGGTAGATAACGTTATTTCAGAAATTTATTAATAGCGAAATAAATTACTCCAATAACTTAACTTTAAATTTTTATTTATTTTTTCTTTAAATTTAAATAGTACATACGGATCTATAGAGAACATAGAGAACCATGTATGTATGTAGTATATTTCTTTATTTATTTTTTAATTTCAGCTACAGAACTAGTTTCTTACAGACTAGTGAAGACTCTAGGTGAATATTGTAAACAAATTATTCTTAAATCTATCAATACTTAAGTTAAAATCGATAACACTAGAATATGTATTGCACAATTCAATGATCTAGCAATTGGTTCATTTTTGGCAAAATTCGTGGTATGCAGAGCATCAACCAATAGCCTTTTGTTTCTTAAATTACGCGGGGGATTATATAATATGAGCAAATCTGTTAAATAAGCGCAATTTGTGTGCCCATTGATTATTTTATAAATAAATGTAATGAAGAAGTAATCTCTTCTTTCCTTCAAAGACTGGAGACCCAGCAATTTCTGTCTGCCAATATAGGGAGGAACATAACCTTGCTAGGGCAACTTGCAAATAGCGAATATGGTGAAAATCTTGTTAACTCTTTCTATTTTGATCGAGTCCACTTCATAATATGGACTCCATATTATAGAACAGTATTCCAGACGGCTTCTTATTAAAGGATTTTAAAGTTACTGGATCTCTGAACTCTTGAGTATTTCGCCTAATAAAGCCTATCATTGAGAACGATTTAGATACAATATAGTCAACGTGTTTTGTAAACGCGAGTTTGGAGTCAAAAATAATGCCCAAATCTTTTATTTCAGTGCTCCGCTTTATAACGCAACCATCTAATTTATAGTCAAAAGGTATATCACTACTAGACTGCCTCGAGAACGTAACTACGCAACATCTACCTATATTTAGGTTCAAACAGTTTAATGTACACCACTGCTGAAATTCATCTAGATCGAGCTAAAGACGATTACAATCTGAGAGATCACGCACAACTGAAAAAAGTTTAACATCATCTGCAAACATCAGGCAGTTTGCAAAATTAAAATAGTTAGGCAAGTCGTTTATAGAATAAACAACAGTTTAGAATAAACAACAGTGGTCCACAATGCGTGACCTGTGGTATGCCCGACCATGCATTAACTGTCATTTGAGATGTTGTTACCCCAATTTGCACAAGTAACTTTCTTTGCGTTAGACCCTCTTCGGTTCGCCTATCCATCAGCGCCAAGCACTCAAAATTTTAATTCAAGTAGGAAGTAACAATATTTAAATTTAAAACTAATTTATTAAGGAAATAAGTAGAATTATAATCTGAATTGACAAGGCGAATGCCTAACGCTGACGAGATGACATGATAAGATTAGTAGCCTCATGGCTCTTATGGGCAGTAGCGCCGGCCTTTACAGGCGCGCCGGCGTCGCCGCCGCCGCCGATTATTTTTGAAGTTGACCACGCCGCCGCCGCAAAGCCTGTCGGCGTAAACCTCTACTTCCAATACAAAAAATAAAAAAAATCCGATAAAATAATATGATTTTTGATAATCTTAAATAACTTCCAAAAAAAATATATATATTAATTTTTTTTTTTTTTTTGTAATTTGGGGAAACTTTTCAAGGTAAAATTGAGGCACAATAAAAGTTTTTGTTATCGTTCAAAAGTTATAGATTATTGATCACTCACACCCCTAAACAAGTACACTGTGCGACGTCAAGAAGTCAATTCACATGGCTAATAAGTTTCCCGCCTTTCCAGTAGATGCCTCCTGTGCGACAAGACAAAATTGAAAGTGCATTACGGCAAACAAAAGCTAATAAGGCACTGTTTGTCTTTAAAAACTATAGAAATAATTATAAAGGCAGTAAAAACTCAGTATATCGAACCCAGTTATAAAGAAAAACTCACATAAAGGAACTCTTTTTCTCACAAAAACTGAAAAAGTGTAGTTTTCTTAAGTTATAGCAAATCAAATACCGAAGGCATTCAGCTTCGTTGTATCGAGGTTTCACTGCAAACTATTTTTAATAAATATAATAAAATAAAATCTAATAAAATTAACTTTTCCTCTAAACTTCTTTTAACTTACCCGACTCTGAGATGGCCGAATACCCAGTGGCATGACTTGCCTCGGAAACGTCACTCATGGAACCCAACCATTTTAGGGTCTCCGTTGATGAAGTGCTTTCCGAACTGTTATTGTGTTGCTGTTGATTGCTGCCGCTGTTACCGCCTGTGAGCGCTACATCTCGACCTATAGTGGAGAGCAGCAGTGGGGTAGGAGAGGGTGCCATCGAGGCACATGAAACGGAGGATAAGTCGTTCTGCGACCAATGGTGGGAGGATTGGCGTGACAACATCTCGCTTTCCTGACGTAATCTGCGTAAACGAAATAGAATAGGAAAATATAAATTTAGACGAAATTGGTAATTAAAAATGAAAATTATACTTATGCAGAATATAAAATTTATTGAACAAGATTGGCAAAACATATGAATAATCATGCCAAATTAAAATTAATTGAAATTTGAAGTCATAAACAAGTGGTTTAATGATAAAAAATATATGTACATATATATGTAATAGTAGGGCGGGTCGAAAAACACAAAATGCTTGATACGTAAATTGTATAGGCTTTAAAAGATGCGATTTTAATCACTTAAGGCCTGTATGCCCCTCTCAAGAAAAGCAAAAACTCTATATAAAATTACGTACAAGTAATCGCTAAGAAATTTTCTTGAGACAAACTTTCTTAAGGCAGTACGCAGTTCTTAAGAATATTTCTACGCTTTCTACTACGGGTTTCTAAAGTTTTTTTTTGTGAAAAAAAGGGGACAAGGCAGCCCATGTTTGCAACAGAAATATATGCCCGTTCCATTATTTCTTTGTGATATCAAAATTTCTTGGACACACACACGAAATAATGGCAATTTTTTTCCTGACCGTTTTCTTGAGAGTTGCATACTGGTCTTTAGTCTAAACAAAAATCCTAGTCCTCTACGACAATTTCTTCATTCTGCGGAATGAGCCTTATAAAATTAAAGTGAGAGTGGGAATATCATTGATTTTTTTATTTTTACGACTTGTTTAGATCAAATCCAGAACTTATTTCCTTATATAAAATCACAAAATAATAAATTAGCAAATTAAATGTAAGTAACATCAGTATTTTAATAAATTAATAATGTAAGTAGGAAATAAAAATTAATTGATTAGTTTAATTTGGCCAATTTATTTTCTTTTGATTTTTAAGAGTAAGTATGTTCCGAATTTGATCTACACAAGTCGTTGTAAAAATTTTTCGAATTGGTACTCCAACTCTAATTTTCAATTTTTCAATTTTTCATTCCGCAGACTGAAGATATTGTCGCAGAGAAACAGGATTTTTTTTTTTAGGAAAAGTGATCAATATAGCACCTTTTAAGACCTATAAAATTTTTGTATCGAATATTTTGTGTTTTTCGACCCGCCCTAATGTATATACTTATAACATTCTACAGGTTTATAGAAACTTTTGCACGAATTCGACGCGTTTATTTGATCAGATGAATTCAGGTGCCATATTCAGCCACGGGCGAGTGAATTTTATTATCCGAAGTAAAAAATAAACAAACAAAATCTAGTACAACAATACTTTAACGATTTTTGTACAGTCAATTGCGGAACTAACACCAATGTCTTACTCAAAAGTCATGAAAAGGGGAAATAGAAAGCAAGTCCTACAAAAAAAATTAAAAGTTAATAATTTAATTTAAAGAACAAATCATTAAAATGATTTTATTTTCTATAAACTAAGGTGGCAATATGTATAAGATCACATAAGTAGCATGTCGTGTAGCCAGCCACTCTTGTAGTCAGGCAGTCAGGCAGTCAGTCACTTAGCCAGTCAGTCCATCAGCCAGCCAACCAGCTAGTGAGTGACTTAAGCTGCGTGTATTTACTCGTATCAGGCATTCGATCTGCTTCCACATGATTTGATTGCTTTTAGCCTCCAGGCGTCGTCAGTGCCAATAATCAATTGTGGTTTAAAACAGACGTCATATTCATAGAAATAAATACACGCAGACTTACATAGAGTAGGTACTTCCAGGCATACAATATTTATGTACAAATGTATTTAAATACTCTTTTTTTAAATTAGTTTTTATAGTAAATAGCAGCTTATATTCATATGTATGTGCACTTATGTGTTTACGTGCTGTTTATTTAGTTATGGGCTTGTTCATGTGTATTGATTTGCAGCCTTCAAGCACACGAATGTTATTTTTGCCCCAAATTGACAAGCAAACCAATTGACATACAGACAGTTGGCTAGACAGGCAACCACCAGCTTAACATAAAACTTAATGAAGTGTGTTTATGTAGCGTTGACTTTTGACAGGACACTCTTGTATAAACAGCGAAAATAAATTATAATTTTTGGAGCCAAGCAGCGTCCAATAAATATAAAATGAGACAGTGGCCGCGAAATATGTAGTACAGTGTCGGGAAAGAAATAGGTTGTTTTATATCTTGTATACGAATAAAAAAAAAATATTTACTAAATTAAAATATTTGCTATTTAAGCAGCTACTCGTGCAGTATATACAAAGTACTGGGCTGAAGAACGAGCTTTCAAATAATCTAACCTTTTTTTTGTGAGCTTAAAGTTCTTGCTAGGTGGCGCTGGAATCGAGTTATTTATAAAAGTCGTAATTATGAACCGACTTCGTTCATATTCAAAATCTCTATGAACTGCATGTTAAAAAGTGCGTCTGCGAAAAATGGGCCAGCTAGATGGTATCAACGTCACTCTGTGCTGGGTTCTCGGACATAGCAATATTGAAGTGAATGATTCGACTGATGACAGGGCTAGATGCGGCTCAGAGATGCCAATGCAAGAAGCGGATAGCTCCGGGGTAGTGTTAAGTGATCACGGTAGCAAAATTAATGAGTACACCCTAGCCGTGACGAATGAATTGTGGAAGAAACGGGAAGACTGTGAGACCATAAGATTATTATGGCCGCGGCTGGGTAGGAAAAAGTCAAGGGAGATACTGAAACTCAATCGATTTGCAGTAAGTGTCCTTACCGGCGTCATCACAGGACACTGTGCTATAGCACCAATGCTCCAACGGTGGCGAATACCAACGAGTACTCTCTGCAGAGGCTGTCATAATATGGATGGGGAAGAGTCAAATGACCACTATCTGTGTCGATGTCCAGGTCTACAGACGAAGCGATTCAAGTTCTTGGGTTCCATGCTTTTCAACAGTCCGGGCGAAGTAGCAGAGGTGGAACTGTTGGATCTCCTCGGTTTCATCAGGGATAGTAATTGGTTCAGTAAAATAATTACTTTTCGATATAGGTACGTGTCTCCTCCTGACAATGGACAATTCTGTATCCGAGTGAAAGTATGGACTATTCCACACACGCCCTTCTAACCTAACCTAGGTGCCATTTTTCTTCATTTTCGGTATTACTAATTCTTAAATATAACAATAAACACTTTTGCAAAAATAGACCCGCTGGGTAATGCTTGGGTGGAGTTATTTTTAAAACCCGATTTTTCGGTTCGATTTTGTTTCTGTTCGAAAGGTATTTTACCTACATATCGAAACATATTTTTGCATTGCATTTACATAGCTCCGCTTGAACGTAGAAGCCAATTCATTGATCAAGGGATTTTCTACCAGGGTCAAGGGTGTATCAAGAGGAAGCGTTTGCCATCCAGTTGGCAGCACTCGCTCAGAGACCTAGAGAGAGCAAACGAGACTTTATCTTCCGCGGCAAAACTGTGTACTTGAGTTACCTTATAACTACTTTTATTGGCTTATATGACATAAGACTAGAGATTGACGCATCCGACGTGACGGAGAACGTAGACGAGAGATTTTAAAGAACCCACGGTTTGCAATACCTTCAAAAGGGCTACGGGAAAAAAATGGCGACTGTCGCCGCAATCACCGAAAGAACGAGTATCTGAAGCAAAGTTATCAGACCGATTGTCATCCAGTTTATTGGCAAGCATTAATCAAAGAGAGCAACAAGGAAATAATTGTGCAATTGTAAGTGCAAATGATCGCATGCGGGGCACCGAAATTGCGCATATGGAAACTGTGCATTTAGACATTATTTCGGTTTCTACCGAAACTGTGCATGTATGCTTTATTTCGGTTTTTACCATATGCATTATTTCGGTTTTAAACCGAAACTGTGCATGTATGCATTACTTCGTTTTTTTTTCATATGCATTATTTCGCTTTTCAACCGAAACTGTGCATATATGCATTATTTCGGTTTTTTTCATATGCATTATTTCGTATGCACAGTTTCCATATGCACAATTTCAGGGTGCCATCGCATGCATATTGGAAACGATAAGCAGCGAGCCACAGGAACAGCTCATCATCAACGTTTCTCGTTTGAAACTGATTAACTGATTCTTGAGATAAAAGATGCAGGGCTCGAATCGTAGCAGACGTGAACGAGCAACTGGTCACGTAAAAATTCATGTTTCGGATTATAACAGTCGTGAACGTACTGCTCGTCTGATAAGTTGCTCGTTCACGATTATTACGATTCGAGTCCAGGTTTGGAAAAGACCCTAAAAGGTAAAAGAGCCCATGTAAACGTTGTTGAAGTATGTATTACTTGTATACTGTAGACGCAAATCTTTGTGGAGAACCTCTTTTTAAAGCAATGCGTTTTCGTTTGTTTGTAAGTACTTTTGTCAGTGCTAAACATATTTTTTAATCATAATTATACAAAAATATTTAAAGTACTTAACAATAAACATGCCTTTTGAAGTGTTGATAAAAAATGCCACTTAAATTTGCGGAAGAGATTTAATTGCAGGCATTTTCTATGATAACTTTAAAATATGTTATTGTCACAGCTTTTCAATTGATTTTTTATAAAATACAAAACAAAAATGTTAATAACATTAATTACTCGTACAACGCATTATTTATGTACATATGTATGTGTTTGCTGGTCACAAAGCCGCTTTAATTGAGAAGAAATAAATGAAAAAATAAGTACAGTTAAGTAGTTATTTCATGTTGCTATGGTGCTGAAATTAAAATTAATAATAATAAATATGAAGAGCATTAAGTAGTATGTATGTACATTAGGGTGGTCCTTAAAACATCAAATTAAGTATTTTTTTCAATCTCACCACCTGCATCGGTAATACCACGGTCACAGATTGGAGACGGTAAAGGCGTGTCGCATAGCGGTCAAAGTCCAAATGCCTCTATGGAGACTCAAAAAATTAAAAATATTTTTTTCATTTAGTAATTAATTTCGCACAGGTGGCAACGTTCAGATTCCTCTATGGAGACTCAAAAAATGTAAATAATTTTTTTTTTTTTTCATCTAATACCCAAAATCGTACT